GCCATTTCCCAGTCCTGGAGTAGAGTCCAGAAAACCCAACATGCTCGACCGATCGAGGTCCCTCCTACCCAGGACTCACAGGAGAACTGCCATTTCCCAGTCCTGGAGTAGAGTCCAGAAAACCCGACATGCTCGCCCGATCGAGGTCCCTCCTACCCAGGAGGTCAGCATATTATGACGTGGAGGTTTCCCTGTGGGGGGAGGGGACATTAGAGTGTAAGCTCCTCTGGTACAGAGACTGATGAGTCAGGAAGTGAAGGGTCGGCTTTCTCTGGTATTTGGGTGATTTTGGCCCCCAGGCAGGGAGTGAAGTGGCCCCTGGAATTGGCTGTACCTGTCTACACATCATCCATCCCCCGTACAGAGCCGATGAATCATCTTCTGTGTTATATTTGGACTGGAGGGTTTTTATTCAGTTTCCCATGACGACCGGAGGATGAAAAGAGACAGAAGGTCCATTGTGTGCGACTGCGGAGGACCGAGAGCTCTGCGATCCACACACACACACATATATATATACACTCAGAGAGGAATCATCCTACTACTCGCTTATATATTCCATACACCCCCCCAATATAGCCCCTCTATAACTTCTCCAATACACAGTCAGGTCCATAAATATTGGGACATGGACACAACTCTAACATTTTTGGCTCTATACACCACAATGGATTTGAAATGAAACGAACAAGATGTGCTTTAACTGAAGACTGTCAGCTTTAATTTGAGGGTATTTACATCCAAATCAGGTGAACGGTGTAGGAATGACAACAGTTTGCATAGGTGCAGCTCCCACTTGTTAAGGGACCAAAAGTAATGGGACAGAATAATCATAAATCAAACTTTCACTTTTTAATACTTGGTTACAAATCCTTTGCAGTCAATGACAGCCTGAAGTGTGGAACGCATAGACATCCCCAGACGCTGGGTGTCATCCCTGGTGATGCTCTGCCAGGCCTTTACTGCAACTGTCTTCAGTTCCTGCTTGTTCTTGGGGCATTTTCCCTTCAGTTTTGTCTTCAGCAAGTGAAATGCTCAATCGGATTCAGGTCAGGTGATTGGCCATTGCAGAACATTCCACTTCTTTGGTGTCTTTTGCAGTCTGCTTTGGGTCATTGTCCATCTGCACTGTGAAGCGTCCAATGAGTTGTGAAGCATTTGGCTGAATATGAGCCGATAATATTCCCGAAACACTTCACAATTCATCCGGCTGCTTCTGTCAGCCGTCACATCATCAATAAATACAAGAGAAGCAGTTCCATTGGCAGCCATCCATGCCCACGCCATGACACTACCACCACCATGATCACTGATGAGGTGGTATGCTGAGGACCATGAGCAGTTCCTTCTCCATACTCTTCTCTTCCCATCACTCTGGTACAAGTTGATGTCGGTCTCATCTCTCCATAGGATGTTGTTCCAGAACTGTGAAGGCTTTTTTACATGTCGTTTGGCAAACTCTAATCTGGCCTTCCTGTGTTTGAGGCTCACCAATGGTTTCCATCTTGTGGTGAACCCTCTGTATTCACTCTGGTGAAGTCTTCTCTGATTGGTGACTTTGACACACATACACCTACCTCCTGGAGAGTGTTCTTGATCTAGCCAACTGTTGTGAAGGGTGTTTTCTTCACCAGGGAAAGAATTCTTCGCTCATCCACCACAGTTGTTTTCCGTGGTCTTCCAGGTCTTTTGGTGTTGCTGAGCTCACCGGTGCGTTCCTTCTTTTTAAGAATGTTCCAAACAGTTGTTTTGGCCACGCCTAATGTTTTTGCTATCTCTCTGATGGGTTTGTTTTGTTGTTTCAGCCTAATGATGGCTTCACTGATAGTGACAGCTCTTTGGATCTCATCTTGAGAGTTGACAGCAACAGATTCCAAATGCAAATAGCACACTTGAAATGAACTCTGGACCTTTTATCTGCTCATTGTAATTGGGATAAATGAGGGAATAACACACACCTGGCCATGGAACAGCTGAGAAGCCAATTGTCCCATTACTTTTGGTCCCTTAACAAGTGGGAGGCACATATGCAAACTGTTGTCATTCCTACACCGTTCACCTGATTTGGATGTAAATACCCTCAAATTAAAGCTGACAGTCTGCAGTTAAAGCACATCTTGTTCGTTTCATTTCAAATCCATTGTGGTGTATAGAGCCAAAAATGTTAGAATTGTGTCCATGTCCCAATATTTATGGACCTGACTGTACTCCCTCTATAACCCCCCAGTATAGTCCCTCTATACCCCCCCAATATACTCCCTATAACCCCCCCAATTCCCACCAGACTGGAACTCTGCACTTGATTTAGTAATGTTACAATTTATCTGATCTAGATAGGAGACAAGGGGGGGGGGGGGGGATTTCTAAATCCATGGACTCCCCCCCCTTTATACTATCCCTTCCCACCCCCACAATTATGTCCCTGGACTCCCCCCCCCCCCCTTTATATTATCCTTTCCCCCCCCCCCCATGTCACCTCCCTCCATTTATATTATACCCGCTGCCCTTATATTATTCCTTAGCCCCCCCCATCCCCCATGTTACCCCCCGATAATGTCCCCTCCCCCCCTAATATTATCCCTTATTCCCCCATGTCCCCGGACTCCCCTTCTTTCCCCTCTATATTGCCCCCCGATGTCTCGAGTTACCCCCCCTCATCCGACCCACAACAAACCTTCAGTTGCTTTGGCAATGATATATAAAAACGAGGCGACAAGAAGTGACCAGAAACACTTTATTTACATCGTCCAATAGAAAACCATCCAGAGTATATACAGCACATGTACATATACACATCCTATATACAGGGCCATGTGACCATATATACATCCATATACAGCGGGGGAGAGCCCGGGATATACATTGTATCACTGCAGGACCAATAGTAGGGAGGAAGAAAACCAGGACCGCCCCCGAGGGACAACCCGACACACCAATGCCCCACCCCCCTCCCGAGGGACAGCCTGTGACAACACCACCCCCCAAGGGTCAGCCCGTCACACACCGCCGACCCCTCCCACCGAGGGTCAGCCCGTCACACCGCCGACCCCTCCCACCGAGGGTCAGCCCGTCACACCGCCGACCCCTCCCACCGAGGGTCAGCCCGTCACACCGCCGATTCCCCCCCCCCCCCCCCCCAGAGGGACAGCCCGTCACACCCCAATCCCCCCCCCAGAGGGACAGCCCGTCACACCGCCGATCTCCCCCCCCCCCCCAGAGGGACAGCCCGTCACACCGCCGATCTCCCCCCCCCCCAGAGGGACAGCCCGTCACACCGCCGATCCCCCCCCAGAGGGACAGCCCGTCACACCGCCGATCCCCCCCCAGAGGGACAGCCCGTCACACCGCCGATCTCCCCCCCAGAGGGACAGCCCAACACACCGCCAACGCCCCCCCCCCCCCCCCCAGAGGGACAGCCCGTCACATTACTGTCATGCCCCCCTCCCTCGAGGAACAGCCTGTAACACAGCTGCGCACCACCACCCCCCGAGGGACAGCCCGTCACACCGCCGATCCCCCCCAGAGGGACAGCCCATCACACCGCCGACAGCCTGTCACACGACTGCTCCGCCCCCTCCCCTCCCGAGGGACAGCCCACACTGCCTTCCCGAGGGACAGCCTGACACTACTGCCCCCCTCCCCCCCCAAGGGACAGCCAGTCAGATCACCCCGTGAAGGGACAGCAGCCCACCCCGAGGGACAGCCAAATTGCCACCACCGAGCACACCGCCCCCCCGAAGGACAGCCGTCACACTGCCCCCCGAGGGACAGCCAGTCAGATCGTTGCCCACTAAGGGACATTGCCACCCGCCCCCCGAGGGGCAGCCAGTCACATCGCCACCCCCCCCCCGAGGGACAGCCAGTCACATCGCCACCCGCCCCCGAGGGACAGCCAGTCACATCGCCACCCGCCCCCCGAGGGACAGCCAGTCACATCGCCTCCCCCCCATACCCCCCCCCCCAGGGATGGCCACTGAAGAACTGAAGTGCCGGGAGCAGCCAGGAATTTCAGTACCAAAGGTGGACAGTGTACAAGTGATTGTCCAATATCAGCTGATTATCAGTATACACAGTGCAGCGCCCCCCGCTGGACAGCCAGGGATGACGCCAGTCAGGTAGTGAATGGCACACAACAATGCAAAGCATTATGGGTAGAGGAGAGGCAGCTTGGGTGGATTAGGAGTCTCTGATGCCAGAAGCCACCAATCAGATTGGCACTTCCAGATTCCAGCTCTGAACAGATCTGATTGGAGGCTCTGTGCAGCACAGACAGTTCCCATTATAGCATGCTGAAATCGGAGGCCGATGGGAGTTGTAGTACTGTGTGTGAGATGCTGGGCCTATCAATGGGCCTGAAATCAGAACTGTCTGCGTTACCCATAACAACCAGATCCTTCCATCATACCACCACAGCCGGTCAGGAATTCCCATTGGTTGCCTCCAGCGACAGACAGTTTTTATTTCAGGCACTTTGATCCCTGTGTGGGCAGAACGTATGACTGTGAACATGGCGCCATCGCCCATAGCAACCAGACATCCCATGTGATGGTCCCAGAGAAAAACGAAACCCGATTGGTTGAATTTTGTATCTACAGGTCACGAGGTGCACGTACAGAGCGTTATAATCACCACCCGAAAAAAGATGGCGGCTCTCTACGCCAAGACCGCCACAAATGCGAAGTGTGAAGCCCGAAACCACAGAGACTTCCCACCAGACTGCAAGCTCTTCTGCCAAGGATCCGGGGCTCTGTACTGCGCTGCAGACTACGTTGGCACTTTATGAACTAGAACAAAACCGGCACACAAAGGAGGAAGAACAGTGAAGGAACCGTCTGTGACAGTGCCCCTCCCACTGCGACCATGCCCCGCCCCAACATCCCTGCCCCGCCCCTCAGCAGGGAGAATCTTGAGGTCCAGGGGCGGGGTTTGCTGTTCTCTGCACTTGTCCATTATGCTGGGGATGTGACGTCATGGCGTACGCCGGGCGGCTCTGCTGGGTTCACACTGTGGTCATGACCTTGAGTGACCCCGTGTGAAAGCGCATGATCTTTTTCTTTAGCGCCTGTGAGGCTTTCACTTTGAACACCTGGGGGCCCCTCGGCATCGCGGGGAGGAAGCTGCATTGGCCACACCAGCTCCCCTTCTTCCTCCTCCTCTTCCCCCTCCGAATCGACCCGCGGCTCCACCTCCGGCACCCCGGCGCTGATCTCGGCAGTCGATCTCCACTTCCTGCAGGGGGGGCCGAGCCTCACCGGCGGGGCCCTCCCGTCTCTGCCCAGGGTGTAGCACCGCCCTCCTTCCTGCATGGGGCCCCACTCTGGGACGAAGGGCCGCTGGTCGGCCCAACCCTCAGTGTGCGATCGGGCATTGGCCCAGCTTTCCCTGTGATTTCTGGGGTGACCCCAGGCCGCCAAGTTCCCCCTGGAGCCGTCCCACGCTTCGGCGTGCACCCCGACCTCCGCGCACTCCTCCTGCTGCTGGATGGGGTCCCTCAGGCTCGTCTCAGACAGAGACCGCGGCGTCCTGCGCCCTCCCCTTTTCCGTGGCGGCTCCTCCGCCGACAGACATTTCCGGGGGGGTCTCGGGGGAGAGCCCTCCACGCTGCGGCCCTTCAGCAGGGGCGGGTGCTTTCTTCGGGGGCCCCGATGGACAGGGGTGTAAGAGGTGGTGGTCATTCTACAGGCTGGAGCGGGAGGAGGTGGGGGAGGGGGTGGAGGAGGGGGGGTGGGGCGCTCAGCGGAGACCGAGCGCATGTAGGGGGTGCGTAGCTGGCGGCGGAGAAGAGAGAGGATGTAGCCTTCAGCCCGGCGAGCGGGGGGAGGGGGAGGAGGAGAGGAGGGGGAGGGGTAGGGAGCAGACATGGAGCGAGGAACCAGCAGGCGGGAAGAAGAGGAGCGGGGGTGCTGGGATCCCACAACCAGGTCACCTGAGGATGGAAGAAGAGCGGGGGGGTTACAGGGGGGCAGAGGCGGAAAATGCAACGATCAAATCAATTTGATCCAGGGGCGGGAAGAGAGGGGGGGGGCGGAGCCTCACCTGCGCTCTTCGGGCGTTCGCTGGCGTAATGCATGCGGGCCTCCGCCTGACCCATCCGCGGGGGGCGGTCCAGGAAGACGTCACATGACTCCGGGTTATTGGCGTCCAACTCCGCTGTGAGGAGAGAGAACGGGGGAGGGGAGGGACACGAAAATGGCGAATTATTAAAAGGCAGAACAAACAGCCAATCAGAACATTATGTATACCAGCGGTGAGCGGGAGGATGGGAATTGTAGTCGTATGTCACCCCATTCTATTGGCAGATGGACAAAACATGTTCCCCTCCCCTGAGGAGACACCGGCAACAAAACTCCCCACCCCCCTCCCAATATAAACTCCGCCGTACGGGAAAACTGCGGCCAATCAGACTGATTGCTGCATGAAATCATCGCCATCCCCCCACCGCCGTCACAGCTGAATTGTCTCCGCCCACATTCCTGTCCACTCCCCTCAATACTTCCTGAGCGAATGGAGTCCTGACTATACTGGCTACATGCTTGTTCCAGGTCATAGACTCCGGCTGCCACACCTAGGATACCTGGTTATAGGGGGCCACACCCAGGGGACGGGTTGGTGTCACACCTAGGATACCTGGTTATAGGGGGCCACACCCAGGGGACGGGTTGGTGTCACACCTAGGATACCAGGGTATAGGGGGCCACACCCAGGGGATGGGTTGGTGTCACACCTAGGATACCTGGTTATAGGGGGCCACACCCAGGGGATGGGTTGGTGTCACACCTAGGATACCACGGTATAGGGGGCCACACCCAGGGGACGGGTTGGTGTCACACCTAGGATACCAAGGTATAGGGGGCCACACCCAGGGGATAGGTTGGTGTCACACCTAGGATACCAGGGTATAGGGGGCCACACCCAGGGGACGGGTTGGTGTCACACCTAGGATACCAGGGTATAGGGGGCCACACCCAGGGGATGGGTTGGCGTCACACCTAGGATACCAGGGTATAGGGGGCCACACCCAGGGGATAGGTTGGTGTCACACCTAGGATACCAGGTTATAGGGGGCCACACCCAGGGGATAGGTTGGTGTCACACCTAGGATACCAGGGTATAGGGGGCCACACCCAGGGGACGGGTTGGTGTCACACCTAGGATACCAGGGTATAGGGGGCCACACCCAGGGGATAGGTTGGTGTCACACCTAGGATACCAGGGTATAGGGGGCCACACCCAGGGGATAGGTTGGTGTCACACCTAGGATACCTGGTTATAGGGGCCACACCCAGGGGATGGGTTGGTGTCACACCTAGGATACCAGGGTATAGGGGGCCACACCCAGGGGATGGGTTGTTATCACAGCTAGGTGACCAAGGGATTGTGGGGGGGTCCACACCTGGAGAGTACCCAGAGGGGGGCCCACACCTACGAGACCAGGGGATGGGGGGGCACAAACCTGAAGAGTGCCCAGAGGGGGGCAGTGTCCCACACCTAGGAGACCAGGGGATAGGGGGGTAAAATCTAGGGGACCCAGGGGCTTGGGAAGGATCACAGCTAGGAGACCCAGGGGATGGGGGTGGGGGGGAAAACCTAGGAGAACCATGGGATCAGGGGGAAATCACACCTAGGAGACCAGGGGATGGTGGGGTCACACCTAGGAGACCAGGGGATGGTGGGGTCACACCTAGGAGACCAGGGGATGGTGGGGTCACACCTAGGAGACCAGGGGATGGTGGGGTCACACCTAGGAGACCAGGGGATGGTGGGGTCACACCTTAAGAGTGCTGGGGGAGGGAAGCTGGGCCACAGCTAGGAGACCAGGGGATGGGGGGGGGGCACACCTAGGAGACCAGGGGATGGGGGGGGGGCACACCTAGGAGACCAGGGGATGGGGGGGGGGCACACCTAGGAGACCAGGGGATGGTGGGGTCACACCTAGGAGACCAGGGGATGGTGGGGTCACACCTAGGAGACCAGGGGATGGTGGGGTCACACCTTAAGAGTGCTGGGGGAGGGAAGCTGGGCCACAGCTAGGAGACCAGGGGATGGGGGGGGGGGCACACCTAGGAGACCAGGGGATGGGGGGGGGGGGGGGGGCACACCTAGGAGACCAGGGGATGGGGGGGGGGGGGCACACCTAGGAGGCCCGGGGGCTTGGGGAGAGTCACAGCAAGGAGATGAGGGAATGGTGTATGGCGGGGGGGGGGAGGTCACAGCTAGGCAACCCAAGGGATGGGGGGGCACACCTATGAGACCAGGGGATGGTGGGAAGGGCACATCAGGAAACCCAGGGATTTGGAGGGGCACACCAAGACACCTGGAGGGTGGCAGGAGTACATTCGGAGGGCAAGTGAGGCACACCTGGAGACCAAGGGAAGTGTGTGTGTGTGTGGGGGGGGGGTGCACAGCTGAGGACCCAGAGGTTGGGAAGGGTGTGCCTAGGCACCCGGGGAATGGGGGGGGGGGGGGGTGCCAGAGGTGGGAGGAGCACAGCTGGAAATGTCAGGCAGTAGATTGCATGTTAATCATCCTGATCTGGTGCAGCCAAAGTACCAGAGCTGTAGACGGCCATCCTACCCCAATCACTGGAGGGGACGTCCGCTCTGTGCTCACCGTCTCCACCAATCAGCATCTCCCTTCCAGGAGCCTAGACACACTGCATAGGGGACGGGAGGATCTGATTGGTGGAGTTGGGACACTTGTACTCTACAATCCGGTGAGTGCACAGGTGCGTGTTACTATACCAGACAGATCATGTGACCCCCCATGTGGTGTACTCACGGCTCTGGTTGTCGGTCTCGGCTCGCAGTCTGAGCTCTCCCAGCTGTCTCTCCAACTCCCACAACTGTCTGTCCAGATCCTGCCGAGATACAGAGACATCATTACAGACATGTGACAGGGTCATGTGACCCGCAGAGGGCGTGTAGAAGAAGATTGCCAAGACCCTGAAACTGAGCCGCGGCACGGGGGCCGAGACCCTGAAACTGAGCCGCGGCACGGGGGCCGAGACCCTGAAACTGAGCCGCGGCACGGGGGCCGAGACCCTGAAACTGAGCCGCGGCACGGGGGCCGAGACCCTGAAACTGAGCCGCGGCACGGGGGCCGAGACCCTGAAACTGAGCCGCGGCACGGGGGCCGAGACCCTGAAACTGAGCCGCGGCACGGGGGCCGAGACCCTGAAACTGAGCCGCGGCACGGGGGCCGAGACCCTGAAACTGAGCCGCGGCACGGGGGCCGAGACCCTGAAACTGAGCCGCGGCACGGGGGCCGAGACCCTGAAACTGAGCCGCAGCACGGGGGCCGAGACCCTGAAACTGAGCCGCGGCACGGGGGCCGAGACCCTGAAACTGAGCCGCAGCACGGGGGTTTGAGACCCTGAAACTGAGCCGCAGCACGGGGGCCGAGACCCTGAAACTGAGCCGCGGCACGGGGGTTTGAGACCATACAGCGGTGTAACAGGACGGGTTCCACTCAGAACAGCCTCGCCATGGGCGACCAAAGGGTGTAGGGAGAGGGTGGGGGGGGGGGGTCAGCCTGTCAGTGGGGCCAGCATTGCTGCAGAGGGTGTGGGGGGTCAGCCTGTCAGTGGGGCCAGCATTGCTGCAGAGGGTGAAGGGGGTCAGCCTGTCAGTGGGGCCAGCATTGCTGCAGAGGGTGAAGGGGGTCAGCCTGTCAGTGGGGCCAGCATTGCTGCAGAGGGTGAAGGGGTGGGGGGTAAGCCTGTCAGTGGTGCCAGCATTGCTGCAGGGGGTATAGGGGTGGGGGGGTCAGCCTGTCAGTGGGGCCAGCATTGCTGCAGGGGGTGTAGGGGTGGGGGGGGTCAGCCTGTCAGTGGGGCCAGCATTGCTGCAGAGGGTGTAGGGATCAGCCTGTCAGTGGGGCCAGCATTGCTGCAGAGGGTGTAGGGGTGGGGGTGGGGGTCAGCCTGTCAGTAGTGCCAGCATTGCTGCAGAGGGTGTAAGGGGGGGGGGGTCAGCCTGTCAGTGGGGCCAGCATTGCTGCAGAGGGTGTAGGGGTGTGTGTGTGTGTGTGTGTGTGGGGGGGGGGGGGGGGGGGGGGGTCAGCCTGTCAGTAGTGCCAGCATTTCTGCAGAGGGTGTAGGGGTGGGGGTCAGCCTGTCAGTGGGGCCAGCATTGCTGCAGGGGGTGTAGGGGTGGGGGTGGGGGGTCAGCCTGTCAGTGGGGCCAGAATTGCTGCAGAGGGTGTAGGGGTGGGGGGTCAGCCTGTCAGTGGGGCCAGCATTGCTGCAGGGGGTGTAGGGGTGGGGGGGTCAGCCTGTCAGAGCTCAGACCATACGCCGCACTCTGCATCACATTGGTCTGCACGGCTGTCCTCCCAGAAGGAAGCCTCTTCTATAGATGATGGACAAGGAAGACCAGCAGACTGAGGACATGGAGTACTGGAACCGTCTCCTGTGTGTCTGATGACACCAACATCAACTGATTGGGTTCAGATGGTGTCAGGTGTGTGTGGGGGCAACCAGGTGAGGAGGACAAAGACAAGTGTGTCTTGCCTACAGTGAAGCATGGTGGCGGGGTTGTCACGGTCTGGGGCCACATGGGGGCGGGGGGGGGGGTGTCACGGTCCGGGGCCGCATGGGGGCGGGGGGGGGGGGGTGTCACGGTCCGGGGGGGGGGGTGTCACGGTCCGGGGCCGCATGGGGGCGGGGGGGGGGGGGGGGGTGTCACGGTCCGGGGCCGCATGGTGGGGGGGGGGGTGTCACGGTCCGGGGCCGCATGGTGGGGGGGGGGGGGGTGTCACGGTCCGGGGCCCCATGGTGGGGGGGGGGGTGTCACGGTCCGGGGCCCCATGGTGGTGGGGGTGTCACGGTCCGGGGCCCCATGGTGGTGGGGGTGTCACGGTCCGGGGCCCCATGGTGGTGGGGGTGTCACGGTCCGGGGCCCCATGGTGGTGGGGGTGTCACGGTCCGGGGCCCCATGGTGGTGGGGGTGTCACGGTCCGGGGCCCCATGGTGGTGGGGGTGTCACGGTCCGGGGCCCCATGGTGGTGGGGGTGTCACGGTCCGGGGCCCCATGGTGGTGGGGGTGTCACGGTCCGGGGCCCCATGGTGGTGGGGGTGTCACGGTCCGGGGCCCCCATGGTGGTGGGGGTGTCACGGTCCGGGGCCCCATGGTGGTGGGGGGTGTCACGGTCCGGGGCCCCATGGTGGTGGGGGTGTCACGGTCCGGGGCCCCATGGTGGTGGGGGTGTCACGGTCCGGGGCCCCATGGTGGTGGGGGTGTCATGGTCTGGGGCCCCATGGTGGTGGGGGTGTCATGGTCCGGGGCCCCATGGTGGTGGGGGTGTCATGGTCTGGGGCTGCATGAGTGCTCCCGGCACTGGGGGGGCTACAGTTCATTGAGGGAACCATGAATCCCAACATGTACTGTGACATACTGAAGCAGAGTATGATCCCCTCCCCCCAGAGACTGGGCCGCAGGGCAATATTCCAACATGATAACCACCCCAAACACACCTCCAAGACCACCACTGCCTTGCTGAAGAAGCTGAGGATGAAGGTGATGGACTGGCCAAGCGTGTCTCCAGACCTGAACCCTATTGGGCATCTGTGGGGCCTCAAACTGAAGGTGGAGGAGCGCAAGGTCTTTAACATTCAGCAGCAACATGATGACGTCATGAAGGAGGGGAAGAGGACTCCAGTGGTAACCTGTGAAGCTCTGGTGACCTCCATGCCCAAGAGGGTGACGGCAGTGCTGGGAAATAATGGCGGCCACAAAACATATTGACACTTTGAGCCCAATGTGGACCTTGTCGTTAGGGGTGGAGTCACTTTCGTTGCCGGCGGTTTAGACGTTAATGGCGGTGTGTTGAGTTATTTTGAGGGGACAACAAATTTCCATGTTATACAAACTGTACACTGACTACGTCACATTGTAGCAACGTGTCATTTCTTCAGTGTTGTCACATGGAAAGAGAATCAAATATTGACAAAAATTCGTTTTTTTTTTCCAGGTATTTACCAGAACATCTCCCAGCTCTGGTTCTATGATGGATCTGGGCGCACTCTCCGGTGTAATTGGAGGGGATGTACATCCACATTGGGGGAGGGGGGTAGGAATTACAGCTCTAAGAGTAGCCACTCCCCCTTTTTCAAAGGACCAAAACTAATTGGACAAATGAATATAATCAGAAATAAAATGTTCATTTATAATTTGTTGAGAATCCTTTACTGGCAATGACTGCCTGAAGTCTGGAACCCATGGACGTGACCAGAGACCGGGTTTCCTCCTGTCTGGTGCTTTGCCTGAAGTCTGGAACCCATGGACATGACCAAAGACTGGGTTTCCTCCTTTCTGGTGCTTTGCCTGAAGTCTGGAACCCATGGACGTGACCAGAGACCGGGTTTCCTCCTGTCTGGTGCTTTGCCTGAAGTCTGGAACCCATGGACGTGACCGAAGACTGGGTTTCCTCCTTTCTGGTGCTTTGCCTGCAGTCTGGAACCCATGGACATGGCCAAAGACTGGGTTTCCTCCTTTCTGGTGCTTTGCCTGCGGTCTGGAACCCATGGACGTGACCGAAGACCGGGTTTCCTCCTTTCTGGTGCTTTGCCTGCGGTCTGGAACCCATGGACGTGACCGAAGACCGGGTTTCCTCCTTTCTGATGCTTTGCCTGAAGTCTGGAACCCATGGTTGTGACCAGAGACTGGGTTTCCTCCTTGCTGATGCTTTGCCTGCAGTCTGGAACCCATGGACATAACCAAAGACTGGGTTTCCTCCTGTCTGATTCTGTGTCAGGCTCTACCTGCACTTATCTTCAGTTGTTCTTTGTGGGTCTTTCTTCCTTTAGTTTTGCCTTCAGCCAGTGAAATTCACACTCAATGGGGATGAGATCAGGTGACTCGGCCATTGCAGAATATTCCACTTCTTTTCCTTCCTCCTGGGTTGCTCTTGCAGTGTGTTTTGGATCATTGTCCATCTGTACTGTGAAGCCGTCCAATCACCTTTGCTGCATTTGGCTGAATCTGGGCTGACAGTATATCTGTAAACACGGCAGAATTCATCCGGCTGCTTCTGTCTTCTGTCACATGATCAGTAACCACCAATGACCCAGTGCCACTGGAAACCATGCATGCCCATGCCATCGCCCCGCCTCCGCCCATGCCATCGCCCCGCCTCCGCCCATGCCATCGCCCCGCCTCCGCCCATGCCATCGCCCCGCCTCCGCCCATGCCATCGCCCCGCCCCTCCGCCATGTTTTTACAGATGATGGTATGTACTTTGGATCATGAGCTGTTCCAAGTCTTCTCCACACTTTGTTCTTCCCGTCATTCTGATGGATTTATCTTCATTTCATCCGTCCAAAGAATGCTTCTCCAGAACCGGTCCGGCTATTTTAGATGTTTTTTTCTGGATTTTCTATTCTTCAGTCTTAGGAATGATTCGCACCTCGTCGGGAGCCCTCTGTATTCGCACCTCGTCGGGAGCCCTCTGTATTCGCACCTCGTCGGGAGCCCTCTGTATTCGCACCTCGTCGGGAGCCCTCTGTATTCGCACCTCGTCGGGAGCCCTCTGTATTCGCACCTCGTCGGGAGCCCTCTGTATTCGCACCTCGTCGGGAGCCCTCTGTATTCGCACCTCGTCGGGAGCCCTCTGTATTCGCACCTCGTCGGGAGCCCTCTGTATTCGCACCTCGTCGGGAGCCCTCTGTATTCGCACCTCGTCGGGAGCCCTCTGTATTCGCACCTCGTCGGGAGCCCTCTGTATTCGCACCTCGTCGGGAGCCCTCTGTATTCGCACCTCGTCGGGAGCCCTCTGTATTCGCACCTCGTCGGGAGCCCTCTGTATTCGCACCTCGTCGGGAGCCCTCTGTATTCGCACCTCGTCGGGAGCCCTCTGTATTCGCACCTCGTCGGGAGCCCTCTGTATTCGCACCTCGTCGGGAGCCCTCTGTATTCGCACCTCGTCGGGAGCCCTCTGTATTCGCTCTCGTGAAGTCTCCTCTTGATTGTAGACTGACAATGATCCGCCCCCCTCCTGGAGAGTGTCCTTCACTGGTCTGGATGTTGTGAATGGGTTTTCCTTCACCATAGAGAGGATCCTGCGATCACCACCACTGTTGTCTCCATGGACCTCCATGCCTTGTCATGTTGCTGAGCTCACCAGTGCGTTCTTCTTTCCTCAGAATGGACCAAACTGGTGATTTGGCAGCTCCTAATGTTGCTGCGATCTCTCGGATGGATTTGTTTTGTTTTTGAACCCTTACAATGGCCGGTGTCACTGGCATGGACGGCTCCTCTGATCACATGATGGAGGTTCACAGCAACAGATTCCAAATGTAAATCCCGCACTTAGAATCAACTCCGGACCTTCTACCTGCTTCATTGATGAAGAAATAACAAAGGAGTAGCCCACACCTGGCCATGAAACAGCGTTTGATTCCATTGTCCAATTACTTTTGGTCCCTTGAAAAAGGGGGCATAGCTAGAGATGTAATTCCAAAACCCCTCCCCCAATGTGGATGTACATCCCCTCAAAGAAAACCTGAGAGTGCGCCCTGTCCGCCCAGATCCATTACAGAACCAGAGCTGAGATGGGGGATGGGAAATACCTGAAAAATCTAAAATTGTGCCGGAGTCCAAATATATATGGACAGAACTGTTTGTGTATACGCACATGACCTTTAATGGCCCCCCAGTCGTAGTCCGTAGGGTTCAATATTGAGTTGGCCCCGCCCTTTCCACGCACATGACCTTTAATGGCCCCCCAGTCTTAGTCCGTAGGGTTCAATATTGAGTTGGCCCCGCCCTTTCCACGCACATGACCTTTAATGGCCCCCCAGTCTTAGTCCGTAGGGTTCAATATTGAGTTGGCCCCGCCCTTTCCACGCACATGACCTTTAATGGCCCCCCAGTCGTAGTCCGTAGGGTTCAATATTGAGTTGGCCCCGCCCTTTCCACACACATGACCTTTAATGGCCCCCCAGTCATAGTCCGTAGGGTTCAATATTGAGTTGGCCCCGCCCTTTCCACGCACATGACCTTTAATGGCCCCCCAGTCTTAGTCCGTAGGGTTCAATATTGAGTTGGCCCCGCCCTTCCCACACACATGACCTTTCATGGCCTCCCAGTCTTAGTCCGTAGGGTTCAATATTGAGTTGGCCCCGCCCCTCCCACGCACATGACCTTTAATGGCCCCCCAGTCTTAGTCCGTAGGGTTCAATATGGAGTTGGCCCCGCCCTTTCCACACACATGACCTTTAATGGCCCCCCAGTCTTAGTCCGTAGGGTTCAATATTGAGTTGGCCCCGCCCTTTCCACACACATGACCTTTAATGGCCCCCCAGTCTTAGTCCGTAGGGTTCAATATGGAGTTGGCCCCGCCCTTTCCACACACATGACCTGTAATGGCCCCCCAGTCTTAGTCCGTAGGGTTCAATATTGAGTTGGCCCCGCCCTTTGCAGCTATAAACAGCTTCAACTCTTCTGGGAAGGCCCCCACAAGGTTTAGGAGGGTGTCTATGGGAAGGTTGGACCATTCTTCCAGAAGCACATTTGTCAGGTCAGGCACTGATGTCGGGGGGGGGGGCACTGATGTCGGGGGAGGGGCACTGATGTCGGGGGAGGAGGCCTGGCTCGCAGTCTCCACTCTAATTCATCCCAAAGGTGTTCTATGGGGTTGAGGTCAGGACTCTGTGCAGGACAGTCAAGTTCCTCCACCCCAAACTGGCTCCTCCATGTCTTTATGGACCTTGCTTTGTGCACTGGGGGGCAGTTATTGCCCAGGTGGCCACCTATCACGGGACCACGCTTGGAGTCACTGAGCTCCTGAGAGCGACCCATTTTTTTCACCAATGTTTGTAGAAGCCGTCTGCATGCCTAGGGGATGGATTGTATACACCTGTGTCCATGGAGGGGATTGGAGCACCTGAATCACATGATATGGAGGGGATTGGAGCACCTGAATCACATGATCGGGAGGGGATTGGAGCACCTGAATCACATGATCGGGAGGGGATTGGAGCACCTGAATCACATGATCGGGAGGGGATTGGAGCACCTGAATCACATGATCGGGAGGGGATTGGAGCACCTGAATCACATGATCGGGAGGGGATTGGAGCACCTGAATCACATGATCGGGAGGGGATTGGAGCACCTGAATCACATGATCGGGAGGGGATTGGAGCACCTGAATCACATGATCGGGAGGGGATTGGAGCACACTGAATCACATGATCGGGAGGGGATTGGAGCACCTGAATCACATGATCGGGAGGGGATTGGAGCACCTGAATCACATGATCTGGAGGGGATTGGAGCACCTGAATCACATGATCTGGAGGGGATTGGAGCACCTGAATCACATGATCTGGAGGGGATTGGAGCACCTGAATCACATGATCTGGAGGGGATTGGAGCACCTGAATCACATGATCTGGAGGGGATTGGAGCACCTGAATCACATGATCTGGAGGGGATTGGAGCACCTGAATCACATGATCTGGAGGGGATTGGAGCACCTGAATCACATGATCTGGAGGGGATTGGAGCACCTGAATCACATGATCTGGAGGGGATTGGAGCACCTGAATCACATGATCTGGAGGGGATTGGAGCACCTGAATCACATGATCTGGAGGGGATTGGAGCACCTGAATCACATGATCTGGAGGGGATTGGAGCACCTGAATCACGATTGGGGAGGGGGGGGGACAAATACGTCTGTCAATATAGTGTATATGACATGGGGGAGGAGTGTCAGAGTCATGTGACCCCTAGGTATATAGCAGGGCAGGAAGGAGAAATATCCTTACATACGAAGTGTGACCCCCCCACAACTAAGCCGGGACCCAACCACAGTGCAGGGATCCCATCAGGAGGGGCCCCGTCCGGGAGGTGCTCTATGCAGACAGAACTCCATGTTGGAGGAGGGGGTCCTCTCCTGCAGGACTGGGAGAGTTGGGACACCTGAGTGAGTCTGGAGGGGACTAAGTGAGTCCAGGGGGCCGAGTCAAAATCTTGGAGGGGTGAGAGAACCTGGGGGGTGGTGCCAGGAGACCCCCTGAGAGGCCAGGAGTGGCCCATATGACAGGCTGCGTAAGGTAGGGGAGCCGGGATCGCTGGGGGAGGGGGTCCGAGGGGAGCCAGGACCGCTGGGGGAGGGGGTCCGAGGGGAGCCAGGACCGCTGGGGGAGGGGGTCCGAGGGGAGCCAGGACCGCTGGGGGAGGGGGTCCGAGGGGGAGCCAGGACCGCTGGGGGGAGGGGGTCCGAGGGGAGCCAGGACCGCTGGGGGAGGGGGTCCGAGGGGAGCCAGGACTGCTGGGGGAGGGGGTCCGAGGGACCCGTGGTAGAGTTGCAGTGCTTTTGAAGACAGCCAGGTGGATTGGTATTTTCCTGCTTCGTTGGTGAAAATCTCCCGTGTGGACAACTGTTTTGTGGACTGGCCTAACAAAGAAGAGGGGGGGCGGAGGGGAGGGGCAGAAGAGGGGGGGGGCGGTGGGGGGGGGGGAGCAGAAGAGGGGGGCGGTGGGGGGGAGCAGCAGAAGAGGGGGGCGGTGGGGGGGGGGGGGGAGCAGAAGAGGGGGGCGGAGGCGTAGAAGTGGGAGGCGAGGAGCAGAAGAGGGGGGCGGAGGCGTAGAAGAGGGAGGCGAGGAGCAGAAGAGGGGGGCGGAGGCCAGGAGCAGAAGAGGGGGGTTGGAGGGGAGGGGCAGAAGAGGGGGGCGGAGGCGTAGAAGAGGGGGGTTGGAGGGGAGGGGCAGAAGAGGGGGGCGGAGGCGTAGAAGAGGGGGGCGGAGGCGTAGAAGAGGGGGGCGGAGGGGAGGAGCAGAAGAGGGGGGCGGAGGGGAGGAGCAGAGGAGGGGGGCGGAGGGGGGAGCAGAAGAGGGGGGCGGAGGGGGGGAGCAGAAGAGGGGGGGGGGAGGGGGGGAGCAGAAGAGGGGGGCGGAGGGGGGGGGAGCAGAAGAGGGGGGCGGAGGGGGAGGAGCAGAAGAGGGGGGCGGAGGCGTAGAAGAGGGGGGCGGAGGCGTAGAAGAGGGGGCGGAGGCGTAGAAGAGGGGGGCGGAGGCGTAGAAGAGGGGGGCGGAGGCGTAGAAGAGGGGGGCGGAGGCCAGGCGCAGAAGAGGGGGGCGGAGGCCAGGCGCAGAAGAGGGGGGTTGGAGGGGAGGGGCAGAAGAGGGGGGTTGGAGGGGAGGGGCAGAAGAGGGGGGTTGGAGGGGAGGGGCAGAAGAGGGGGGCGGAGGCGTAGAAGAGGGGGGCGGAGGGGAGGCGCAGAAGAGGGGGGCGGAGGCGCAGAAGAGGGGGCGGAGGCGCAGAAGAGGGGGGGCAGAGGGGAGGGGTAAAAGAGGGGGGCAGGAGGGGAGGGGTAAAAGAGGGGGGTAAAAGAGGGGGGCAGAGGGGAGGAGTAAAAGAGGGGGCAGATAATTGCTATATGAGGCTCAGTATTGTATATGGATCAGTATCTGTAAGGTTCGGTATCTGTAAGGTTCGGTATATGTAAGGTTCGGTATCTGTAAGGTTCGGTGTCTGTAAGGTTCGGTATCTGTAAGGTTCGGTGTCCTATTCAAGGTTCGGTATATGTAAGGTTCGGTACCGTCGGACTCACCTCTCCCCCCCGCAGCGCCCGGCGGACCCGGACCTCCTGCCTCTCCCGGAGGAGTCTCAGCTCGCACAGGCCGGCCACACTCCCCCTCAGCAGCTGTCGGAGCCGCCCCCGGTCTATGGAGCCACCCGAGCCCAGCATGTCTCCCCGCCGCCGGCTGACACACGACTGATCGGCCTCACACTGCGCACAGCGGCCCGGAGAGCCAGGACAGCCAACCACAGGCTACAGTCGGACCACTCCGACCAATCACCATGGACGACTTCTGATATTCCCCGCCTACCCTGCAGACTCGGTGCAAAAGGCAGCCCCGCCCCATTAGGCGTCCTAGCCAACCGTATCGGACAATATTTGCATAAGAAGGGGAGACGGAGATGAAGCCACACCTCCACGCTTTAGACCCACCCATACTTGGAAAGACAGGCCAATCCCGGTGCGGTTACCGAGGCTTTGGCACAAGGCTCCGCCCAGAGCTGGCTGCCACGTCAATTGCGAGACTTAGGGGCGGAGCTTCGTATTCCGCAGAGCCGCAGTGGAGGCGGAAAAATGGGAGGTACTTCAGAAAAGTGGGTGAGAAGAATCAGGAGTGGGCGGGGCTGTTTTTATTTACAATGTCTGAATGGAAACAGAACAATAAAGTTTGAAATATTCGGTGACGTCAGGGGGGCGGGGACCAGTGAACCGGAAGACACGTGGGCGGCTGATGGATACAATGTAACAAGTGTGTGAGATCCAGGTATAGTCACGTGGTGTCCTGTGTATGTGTGTCTGTCCATCAACCAATCACCATCTCCGCTGAGAGTGGGGTGCTGTGTGCAGGTCGCATGACTAAAGTGTGATCACTGACCCCTCCCACCGCGAAACAGGGACCCCCAGCCGCCCCCCGTCCCCTCCCATCGCGAAACAGGGACCCCAACCGACTCAGTGCCTGACCACTAACCCCTCCCACCGCGAAACAGGGACCCCCCCGACCCCTCCCACCACGAAACAGGGACCCCCAGCCACCCCCCGACCCCTCCCATCGCGAAACAGGGACCCCCGACCCCCTCCCACCACGAAACAGGGACCCCCCAAACGCCCCCCCAACCCAGTGCCTGACCACTAACCCCCTCCCACCACGAAACAGGGACCCCCGACCCCTCCCACCACGAAACAGGGACCCCCAAACGCCCCCCAACCCAGTGCCTGACTGCTGACCCCTCCCACTGCGAAACAGGGACCCCCAACCGCCCCCAACTCATCACCTGATCCCTCCCACTGCGAAACAGAGACCCCCAACCGCCCCTGACCCCCTCCCACTGCGAAACAAGGGCCCCCCAAAAGACCCCTCCCACCATGAAACAGGGACCTCCAACCGACCCAGTGCCTGACCACTAACCCCTCCCACCGCGAAACAGGGACCCCCCGACCCCTCCCACCACGAAACAGGGACCCCCAGCCGCCCCCCGACCCCTCCCATCGCGAAACAGGGACCCCCCCGACCCCTCCCACCACGAAACAGGGACCCCCAAACGCCCCCCCAACCCAGTGCCTGACCACTAACCCCCTCCCACCACGAAACAGGGACCCCCGACCCCTCCCACCACGAAACAGGGACCCCCAAACGCCCCCCCAACCCAGTGCCTGACTGCTGACCCCTCCCACTGCGAAACAGGGACCCCCAACCGCCCCCAACTCATCACCTGATCCCTCCCACTGCGAAACAGAGACCCCCAACCGCCCCTGACCCCTCCCACTGCGAAACAAGGGCCCCCAAAAGACCCCCTCCCACCATGAAACAGGGACCTCCAACCGACCCAGTGCCTGACCGCTGACTCCTCCCACCGCGAAACAGGGACCCCCCAACCGCCCTCAGATCCCTCCCACCACAAAACAGGGACCCCCAACCGACCCATCGTCTGACCACTGACCCCTCCCACTGTGAAACAGGGACCCCCAACCGACCCACGATCCCTCCCACACGCAAAACAGGGACCCCCCCCCCAACCGCCCTCCAACCCATCACCTGACCACTGACCCCTCCCACCATGAAACGGGCCCCCGACCCACTGCCTGACTTCTGACCCCTCCCATCGCGAAACAGGGACCTCAAACCGCCCCCCGACCCTGTGCCTGACCCCTTACTCCTCCCACCGTGAAATGGACCCCCAACCACCCTCCGACCCCTGCCACCACGAAATATGGACCCCCAACCACCCCCCAACCCAGTGTCTGACCACTGACTCCTCCCAACCCGAAACAGGGACCCCCAATCACCCTCCGACCCCTCCCACCACGAAACATGGACCCCCAACCACCCCTCGGCCCATCACCTGACCGCTGGACCCCAAACTGCCCTCTGATCCCTCCTACCATGAAACAGGGACCCCCAACCCATCACCTGACCTCTGACCGCTCCCACCGCAAACCAGGGACCCCCAACCGACTTCCAACAGGTCACCTGACCACTGACCCCTCCCACTGCAAAACAGGGAGCTACTACTGCCCTCCAATCCCTCCCACATGAAACAGGGACCCCAAACTGAGGGGTGGCGGTGGACGTGGTATACTTGGACAGAGGGGTAGCGGTGGACGTGGTATACTTGGACAGAGGGGTAGCGGTGGACGTGGTATACTTGGACAGAGGGGTAGCGGTGGGCGTGGTATACTTGGACAGAGGGGTGGCGGGGGACGTGGTATACTTGGACAGAGGGGTGGCGGGGGGACGTGGTATACTTGGACAGAGGGGTGGCGGTGGATGTGGTATACTTGGACACAGGGGTGGACGTGGTATACTTGGACAGAGGGGTGGCGGGGGACGTGGTATACTTGGACAGAGGGGTGGCGGTGGACGTGGTATACTTGGACAGAGGGTGGCGGTGGATGTGGTATACTTGGACACAGGGGTGGGCGTGGTATACTTGGACAGAGGGGTGGCGGGGGACGTGGTATACTTGGACAGAGGGGTGGCGGTGGACGCGGTATACTTGGACAGGGGGGTGGTGGCGGTGGACACGGTATACTTGGACAGAGGGGTGGCGGTGGACACGGTATACTTGGACAGAGGGGTGGCGGTGGACACGGTACACTTGGACAGAGGCGTCTTGGTGGACGTGGTATACTTGGACAGAGGGGTGGCTGTGGACGTGGTATACTTGGACAGAGGGGTGGCAGTGGACGTGGTATACTTGGACAGAGGGGTGGCGGTGGACGTGGTATACTTGGACAGAGGGGTGGCGGTGGACGTGGTACACTTGGACAGAGGGGTGGCGGTGGACGTGGTATACTTGGACAGAGGGGTGGCGGTGGACGTGGTATACTTGGACAGAGGGGTGGCGGTGGACGTGGTACACTTGGACAGAGGGGTGGCGGTGGACACGGTATACTTGGACAGAGGGGTGGCGGTGGACGTGGTACACTTGGACAGAGGCGTCTTGGTGGACGTGGTATACTTGGACAGAGGGGTGGCGGTGGACGTGGTACACTTGGACAGAGGGGTGGTGGTGGACGTGGTATACTTGGACAGAGGGGTGGCGGTGGACGTGGTATACTTGGACACAGTTCCCCACACACGGCTAATGTGTAAGGTAAAGTCTATCGGCTGGAAAAATCCGAATGGGGGTTTTGGTAGATCACAAGCTGCGGGTTCTAAAGTGAGCAAAATCCTTGTATTAGGAGAGGTATAGACTCCAGAGAGAGATATCACCCCCCCCCCCCCCCCCCCGGGGGGTACAAATCATTAGTAATACCTCATCTGGAATATGCAGTTCAGTTTTCGGCTCCAATTCACAAAAAGAACATTGGGGAACTGGAGGAAGTACAGAGAAGGGCAACCAAACTGATATGAGGCATGGAGGAGATCAGCTATGAGGAAAGATTAGAGGAACTGAATGTATTCTCTACTGAGAAGAGGAGATTAAGGGGGATATGATCTCCATGTATAATACATAAGGGGGGGGATATGATCTCCATGTATAATACATAAGGGGGGATATGATCTCCATGTATAATACATAAGGGGGGGATATGATCTCCATGTATAATACATAAGGGGGGATATGATCTCCATGTATAATACATAAGGGGGGATATGATCTCTATGTATAATACATAAGGGGGGGATATGATCTCCATGTAAAATACATAAGGGGGGATATGATCTCCATGTATAATACATAAGGGGGGGATATGATCTCCATGTATAATACATAAGGGGGATATGATCTCCAGTATAATACATAAGGGGGGGATATGATCTCCATGTATAATACATAAGGGGGATATGATCTCCATGTATAATACATAAGGGGGGATATGATCTCCATGTATAATACATAAGGGGGGGATATGATCTCCATGTATAATACATAAGGGGGGGATATGATCTCCATGTATAATACATAAGGGGGGGATATGATCTCCATGTATAATACATAAGGGGGGATATGATCTCCATGTATAATACATAAGGGGGGATATGATCTCCATGTATAATACATAAGGGGGGATATGATCTCCATGTATAATACATAAGGGGGGGGGATATGATCTCCATGTATAATACATAAGGGGGGATATGATCTCCATGTATAATACATAAGGGGGGGATATGATCTCCATGTATAATACATAAGGGGGGGGGATATCTCCATGATCTCCATGTATAATATAATACATAAGGGGGATATGATCTCCATGTATAATACATAAGGGGGGGATATGATCTCCATGTATAATACATAAGGGGGGGATATGATCTCCATGTATAATACATAAGGGGGATATGATCTCCATGTATAATACATAAGGGGGGATATGATCTCCATGTATAATACATAAGGGGGGATATGATCTCCATGTATAATACATAAGGGGGGGATATGATCTCCATGTATAATACATAAGGGGGGATATGATCTCCATGTATAATACATAAGGGGGGATATGATCTCCATGTATAATACATAATAAGGGGGGATATGATCTCCATGTATAATACATAAGGGGGGGATATGATCTCCATGTATAATACATAAGGGGGGATATGATCTCCATGTATAATACATAAGGGGGGATATGATCTCCATGTATAATACATAAGGGGGGATATGATCTCCATGTATAATACATAAGGGGGGATATGATCTCCATGTATAATACAT